AAAAATCTCACTTGCCTAGACACAAACTGTAACTTCAGCCTTACCTAGATGCCTCCAACTTTTATCAAAGTCCTGCTGACTGGCTTCCTGGGGACTCTTAGGAACAAATGTCCTTTTAATTTAGTGTTTTCTCTTCTTTTCAAGTTCAGCCCTTGGTCTCCTCCTTCCTCACCAAGGGAGGGGAACTGGACAACTCCAGAGCCACTCCTGTTAATGGAAGGAATGGGGCGTTGCTGGGCAGAAAGCCAGGAACTTGAACTCTGCTGAGGAACGGGATCTGGGCAAGAAAAGGGCTGACCGCCAGCTCCCAGGGCGCCTGGCTACCTAGAGGAGAGATTCTTCTGTTCTTGACAACAGGCTGTCTGTTCAGTTCTTCCTGCCCTGATTCCTCTCCTGCTGCTTTCACTGCATCTCTGAGCTCTTTGGTAACTCTACCTCTCACTACATTTTGCAATTTGCTGTAGACTTCAAAACCCCAGGCTCTACCTCTCCTCCTCTAGAGCTGCATTTCCCTGTAAAGTTGAAAGCCTACAAAGATCTAGTTTCCTTAATTCCTTTTTTTTTTCAGGTTCCTGGAGCTGAACTCTTCTGACCTACACACCAAAAGCAAACCCACTTCCGTCAAGTCGATTCCGACTCAAAGCCACCCTACAGGATAGAGTAGAACTACCCCACAGGTTTTCTAAGGCTGTAACGTTTGTGGAAGCAGGCTGCCACATCTTCCTCCCACGGGGCAGCTGGTGGGTTTGAACTGCCAGCCTTTCGTTAACGGCCAAGTGCTTTAACCACTGTACCTCCATGGCTTCTTGACCTACATACCAGAAAGGCCGTATCTGATTGTCATCACTTTAAACCTTTTCTCAGCTTTCTGATTTTAGGTTGACTTCTGACAAAGGAGCCAAATTGTGTTTTTTCAGAAACACTCATCATAATAATACATGTCTGCTTAGGACGCAGCCAGTCTTCACTTGGGCTGGCCCCTTGCATCTTGTGTTTCCCAGTTGCCTCCTTTTTTTGTTCCATGCTCATGTCATCTTTCTACGGCTGCCTTTCTTTTCTCTTTTTGCTTTTCTTTTCCTTCACTTCTGTAAAGTGCCTCTCTCTGGATGGAATTTCCTCTCTTCTTCCCTCTTTATGATGCTTTCTTTTTTTCTAGGCAGTCTGCCCCTTCCTCCCCTTCCTGGCAACCCTCTCTGTCCGAGGGTTTAACTAGATTTTATCAATCATTAAAGAGTTTCTAGATTCCTAATCCAAGGATAAAGGCAATTTGTTTCTGTTCAGAGTTAAGCTCTGGTCAAGCCTACTCCTTAACTGCATATGTGATCTTCACCCCCTCCTACTGCTGTTTCAGTGCTGCTCCAGGAATCTGTAACAATCACCCACCCTCCTTCAGATAAGAAAGTGCCTTTTCTAATTTTTTAAGTTCCTTAACTCTTTAGACTTCTAAGACAGACAGCTGCCCTAAAAAATGGCAGATGAAATCTGAGGTACAATAAAATTACTGTGAAAATCTTTTCCTTGGTAGTCCTCTATCTGATCCCTGTGTTAGCTATCATTTTGTGGAAAGAGCACTAGATTTATGAGTCAGAAAAGTTCTAGTTTTGCAGCTTACTGGCTGTGCAACCTCGGGCAAAGTCATTTACCTTCTCCAAGCTCTTAAGGTCCTCACTGGTAAATGGGAACACTTCAGAGGGTTTTGTGGTGATGAAATAATAAGAAAACACTTTGCAGACTGTATTGAGATGGTAGGAGAAACGAGCAGGGATGATGTCCTGATGGTTCTTGAAATCCTTCAAAGGCAAAGGATCATTAAACACAGATTTGTTTTGGTCAGTTTGTTTCAACTCCACCTCAGGGAAAGCTACAAGCTAGAAAAGGTGAGGAAATCCTTGTGGTTTAACATCTGGCTAAAATAGAGAGTATAAACTGTAGGATTTTTTGTCTACAGAGGGCCTCAAGGAATTCTACTTCTTGTCTCAGAGTTGTAGTGAATACAGCCCTTGGCTATAAGTGGCCTTAGGGAGGTGCTTTGGGACGTAGAATCACTGCTAGGTGGTTTTAACGCTCACTTACGAGGCACGCCTAAAGCCTGTTTAAAACAGGGTGTGTGCGGGTCAAACTCAAAGCAAGCTGGGAGATTTCAGACTGGCACCACCTCCTTTGGCTGTTTCTGAGGCCATCCAGAGGCCAGAGCTCAGGCAGATTAACCAAAAAGTAAAGAGAGGGTGGCAGAGTTTGGAGCTTTGTGCAGACGTGCTGGTAAAGGAGAGGCGGGAGGAGAGGGAGGGCATTGGGAGCTGAGGCCCCACCTTTCATTCCAGCAAGTGCTCAGGCAGAGTGGGGATGAGTCACCAGCAAGGGCGCTCAGATTCCCATAGGTGAGGGGACTCGACAGGCTCTTCTCTCCAGAAATACGTGGAGCTTGCTTCTCCTGAAGTGGCCTTGGCAGGGTGTCGGAGCCCTCAGTTTGCCAGGTCTGGTCTCTGGGGCCAGGGCTGGGTTTCCCTCATGTATGACAAGAGCCTTACTCGGCCTGTGCTTCTTCTCCTTGGCATACAGCTGACAGGTAAGGAGCTTCTCTCAGAATTCCCTCCTTTATTGCCTACCTTATGTAGCTAATATGATTAAGTCGCAGGAGTTTTGTTTGGAGCCTGAGCCACTGTTGTGGTTCATTTTAGTCTTGACTCTGCTGAAACCAAAGTTAGGGAGTTGTTTTTGGGTAACTGCTTTTAGACAAACAGGTTTAGGTGTGTTTCGGGTGGCAGTGATTCAGGCACACAGAGGGCTTTCTAATCTCAGGTTACACACTATTTTTTTTGTGGCTGCTCTCAACCTCTTGCTGCTGGCAGCACCTGGCACTCGGATTTCTGTGTGTGGATCTTGTTGGGACTCTAGGCAGCACTGGGAAAGCTGAGATTGTTAAGGAGACAGGCCCAGTGTGGTTTTGAAACTGCTCCAATAGGCACATTCTAAATGTAAACATCATGGTAAAAAGTACCCCATGATATAAAGGTTCCAGTGGTGCAGGCAAATATAAGCTGTCTGGGGGCTAACTAACTCAGTTTCTGCAGAAGATTAGGAACAGTATGAAATTCACGTGACAAGCACACTCTCTGCTAGGGGACCATTATACATGCAGAAACGTAATGCTTAATCTTCACACATAATGCAATGCTTAATCAGTTAGGATCGGTTTTAATTTTTTGTTTCTGCTTTCAATTTTATTTGCCAATCTTTGTAGTTTGGTGCAACAGTTTTGAAGTGTGTACCATAAGGCCAGGATATCATGCTGTGGAGAAAGTGAGAGCACCGAAGGCTCACTGTGGGGTATTTTTATGTCATGGAATGAGAGGGTCAAGGGTGCGTATAGATAAAAGTATGCAGACTAGGCGAGAGCTGGGGCATCTCAACTATGCTTTATGCTCTACTCAGGCATCTATTTGGAAGTGTCAGCAGAAGACGGGGCAGCTGTCTCAACACTACATCTCCTATTAACCCTTTTTTCTTTACTGCAGCGCTTTGGCCTACAGCAGCTGTGGAAATTTACACCTCCCGCGTACTGGAGGCTGTTAACGGGACTGATGTTCGGTTAAAATGCACCTTTTCCAGCTTTGCCCCCGTGGGTGACACTCTCACAGCGACCTGGAACTTCCGTCCTCAAGATGGGGGGTCTGAGCAATTTGTAAGTAGGTTATTGTCATTTTCCAGGGAAACCGCTGATTAGGAAAATAAGCCAGTCCATTTCTCCTTGCCCTTCATTTTTCTTAGCAACAAGTATAGAGTAAAGATGGGAAACAATTCTTGGGGCAGAGACTGAAAGAACTGAGAGGCAAATGAAGGGGAAAGATGTTCTTGCAGGAGAGCTGCAGAAGGGGCAGCTGGGCTTGTTGATGCATCTCTTCTGCTCCCATCATCTCAGCTTCCTTGCCCAGATATTGAATACAAAAGACCCTCTGCCATTTCTCCTCTCCAGGTATTCTATTACCATGGGGAGCCCTTTGAACCCATGAGTGGGCGGTTCAAGAATCGGGTGGCCTGGGATGGGAACCCTGAGCGGAACGATGTCTCCATACTCCTCTGGAAACTACAGTTTGATGACAATGGGACATACACCTGCCAGGTGAAGAACCCACCAGATGTTGACGGGGTGATAGGGGAGATCCGGCTCAGCGTTGTGCAGACTGGTAAGTTCTGCAGGGGAAAGTGGTTTTGGCAAGTGGGAGAGCTTGCAGAAAAGGGAGACGTAATCTTTTATGATGGCTGAAAGAGGAGAGAAAGGGACTAGCCCTTTGGAGCTGGGAACTTTAGAAAGAGACTGAAGAGTCCTGAAGTAAAAAATGAAAGACTTTGTTTGGTTGTGCAGTGAAACAGAAAATAAAGGAAAGGGACACAGGGAATCATTACAAAAATGGCACTGAGAATGTGCAAGGGAAGGAAGCACCTCTCAGGTAAAAGGCTAACAATAGGTCCCCTCACATTCATTTCTTCCAAAGATACTTATGGAGAACCTACTCTGTGGCAGGCACTGTCCAAAGTGTTTGACATGTACTATCTCATTTAATCCTCACAACCATCCTAGGAGGTAGATACCAATCATGGTAGCTAATGTTTATTTCGTCATTTATCAGAGGCTTTACATAAAACATCCTATTTAATCTTTACATGTCTCATTAGTTTATTGTACTCTTGGCACCGCCAGTTTACCGATGAGGAACTGAGGTTCACAGAGGTTAAGTCACTTGTTCAAAGTTACGTAGCTGATAAATGGGATCACTTAGGACTCAAACCCAGGCAGCTTTAACTCCAAAATCCTGCTCCAAACTAGTGCGTTGTATTGCCTGCACCCTGTAAGGGAAAACCTGGAAAACAGTGCCAAACAAAGAGTGAAGAGCACACAACTGAAGAGTACTATGTCTGGGTCTGAGTCATTGCTATCATCCACCAACTGTAAATAAATCTTATTTTCCTCATCTGTAAAATAAACGTAATAATATTGTGAGGGTAAAAGGCAATAAAAAATGAAAAAAAAAAATGCAAACTTTGAACGTCACTGAAAACTGTAAGCGAGTCAGCCCCTGACTCTTGGTGGCCCTACACACCAACAGGGTTGAACCACTGTGATCCACAGGGTTTTCACTGGCTGATTTTCAGATGTAGATTGCCAGGCCTTTCTTCCTAGTCCCTTTCAGTCTAAAAAGCTCTGCTGAAACCTATTCAGCATCACAGTAACATGCAAGCCTCCAATGACAGATGAGTGGTGGCTGCATTTGAGGTGCACTGGCCAGGAACTGAATCTGGGTTTCCCGCATGGGAAGGGAGAATATGGCTACCATACATTAAGTATCCATTATGTGCAGGCACAGTATGGAACAATTTACATGAATTATTTATTCTTTATAAGAACAATAAATATTTTTATCTCTGTTTTCTAGGTGAGGCTCAAAGAAGTTAATTATCCAAAATCACACAGCTAGTAAATAGCAGAGCTGGGATTTTAACCCAGTTCTCTCTGGTGTGTGCTCTAAACCAACATAAAATATTGTTACCCCAAATGTATAAGCCTATAAAGTGGTATGATTTCCTCCTTTCATTCCCAGTACAGTTTAAACCATCCCTCGGGGTCCTACCAACGGAGAGCTGTGTAACTTTGGAGAAGTTATTTGAATACTGAAAGAAGTAATGTAATGTCTTTGGACCTGAGATTCTTCATCTGCAAAATGAATAGGTTAGACAGGAAATCTATGGTTCTTAAATGTATAGGGGTCACTTCTCTTCGAGAATCTATATGAAAGCCATGGCCTTGATTCCCACAAAAAAAGTACACAAGCAGTTTGACATGGATTTTGTGGGCTTGTGGACCATCCTTTCCCATCCCCCTCATAGACTCCAGGATAGAACCCCTGGGCTAGACATTCTCTAATGTGTTTTCTGGCTCTCAGGGTTTGTTGTTGTTAGGTGCCACTGAGTTGGTTCCAACTCATAGCGACCCTATGTACAACAGAATGAAACACTGCCCGGTCCTGCACCATCCTCATAATTGTTGCTAAGCTCGAGCCCACTGTTGCAGCCACTGTGTCAATTCATCTCAGTGAGGGTCTTCCTCTTCTTTGCTGACCCTCTGCTTTACCAAGCGTGATGTACTTTTCCAGGGACTGATCCCTCCTAATAACATGACAAAAGTATGTGAGATGTAGTCTCGCCACCCTTGGTTCTAAGGAGCATTCTGGCTGTACTTCTTCCAAAACAGATTTGTTCGTTCTTTTGGCAGCCCATGGTATATTCAATATTCTTCACCAACATCACAATTCAAGGCATCAATTCTTCTTCAGTCTTCCTTATTCATTGCCCAGCGTTCACATGTATATGAGGTGACCGAAAACACCATGGCTTGGGTCAGGTGCACCTTAGTCTTCTGAGGGTTTAGTAAATCAGAAATCAAGCTACAGGACATGAGAACCAGGCTTTACAGATTCTAGTCTGGTTTAGGGGCCCTTCCCGCTGGGTTCCCTCTTCCATCACCTACCCAACTAGACTGTAGTTACTGACTTACTTGTACATCTTCCCAGTGGGCAGTGAACTCCTTGAGGGTAATGTCATTTTTGGCTTTGTATTTCCATCACAATGTCTGGAACCTTAATAAATTTGAATAAATGATCGACTGATTAAATGACAGGGATGAGAGGGAGTAATCGAGAAATGGTGTGGGGCAATAATCTTACTGTACGAGGTAGTTCAACCAGCCCAGTGGTTCTCAAGTTTTGGCATGCATCAGAATTACCTGGAGGACAGGTTACAGTACAGATTGCTGGGCCCTACCCCCAGTGTTTCTGATTCAGTAGGTCTGGGGTGGGGCACGAGACTTTGCATTTCTTAGTTGTCAAATGATACTGTTGCTGCTGTTGAGATCCACCAGTATGTAAAGAACCCTGGTGGCACAATGGTTAAACTCTCAGCTGCTAAATGATAGGTCAGCCATGCAAACCCACCCAGTAGCTCCATTGGAGAAAAGACCTTGTGATCTGCTCCTATAAATACTAACCAAAACCAAACCAAACCTGTTGCCATTGAGTCTACTCACAGCGACTGTATAGGACAGAGTAGAACTGCCCCATAGGGTTTCCGAGGACTGGCTGGTAAATTCGAACTGTTGACCTTTTAGCTAGCAGCTGTAGCTCTTAACCACTGTGCCACCAGAGCTCTTTCTGTAAAGATTACAGCCTAGGAAACCCATAGGGCAGTTCTACTACTCTACAAGGTCGCTATGAGTCAGAATTTTTTCAAGGGCACACAACAATAACAACATGGTACTGTATATATAAAGGTAGGAAAAAGGAAGATTCCATTTAATGATGAAAATACATCTCTATTATATCTTTAGAGTTCATCATGTTGTTGTTAGCTGCCACCAAGTCGGCCCCCAATTCATGGGAGAGCCACGCACAATGGGATCGGGCCATTGTGATCCACCACGTTGTTTTCTAGGCTGTAATCTTTACAGGAGCAGATTGCCAGGTTTTTTCTCCCTTGGAGCTGCTGGTGGTTTCGAACCACCAACCTTGCAGCCGAGCACTTAACCATTGTGCCACCAGGGCTCCTTGTGAGTCACCACAGTCCTCTTTTCAGAATCCTAACTTGTTCTTTTTCTCCTCGCAGTACGCTTCTCTGAGATCTACTTCCTGGCTCTGGCCATTGGCTCCGCCTGCGCACTGATGGTCATAATTGTAATTGCAGTTGTCCTTTTCCAGCATTTCCGGAAGAAGCGATGGGCTGACAGAGCTCATAAAGTGGTGGAGATAAAATCGTAAGGCTGGACAGTTCTGGGAAAGTCTTCTAACACCTCTCATGGTGACTCCTGGTGTTTTACACTGGGGCTAAATAAGTGTTGAACAGATGTTCCTCTCTTTGAGAAAATCTTACATAAAAGAATTTAAATTCACAGGACAGATAAATTGAAGTTTGAATTAGAAAATTTACACAAAAGTCCTCTTAATTTTACAAAAGATTTCATCATAGGATTTCTTACTATGTGGATTTGCTTTTGTAAAAATCTGCTTTATATAAAAGCTTTTCTAGAATACTCCTTACTTTTAAAGTGAAGCACCCATTTGTCTAGGCAGTCAGCAGGGCCACTATGAATCAGTATCTAGGAAAGTCAGCTATGTTGATGGTAGGTGCTCGATATTTTTTTATGGTGATAAAATTTTCACACCACAAAATTTACCCTTTTAATAGTCACAAAGCTGTGCAACCATCACCATTAATTCAAGAACATTTTCACCACTCCAAACAGATACCCCATATCCTTTAGCCATTGCTCCCCCTCAACCCCTGGCAACCACTAGTCTACTTTCTGTCTCTACAGATTTGCCAATTCTGGACATTTCATATAAATTCTAGAATCACACAATATGTGGCCTTTTGCGACCAGGTTCTTCACTTAGCAAACTGTTTTCAAGATTCATCCATGTTATAACATGTATCAGAGCTTCATTCCTTTTTATGGCTGGATAATACATTGTATGGATATACCACATTTTGTTTATTCATTGATAGACTTTTGGTTTTTTCCCCCCTTTTTTTGCTCTTATGAATAATGCTGCTATGAACATTTGTGTACAAGTTTTTGTGTGAACATGTTTTCAGTTCTCTTGAGTATATTTATACCTAGGAGTGGAATTGCTGGGTCATACGGTAACTGTATGTTTAACTCTTTGCGGAACTGCCAGACTGGTATCCAAAACAGCTGCATCATCCTACATTCCCATCAGCAATGTAAGAGAATTCCAATTTCTCCACATCTTTGCCAACACTTATCATCATCCATCTTTTCGATGAACATCAAAAGCCATGTAACGGATGTGAAATGGTATCTCATTGAGGTCTAGCTTTGCATTTTCCTAATGACTAATGAGGTTGAGCATCTTTCCATGTGTTTATTGGCCGTTTATATATCTTATTTGGAGATATAACTACTCAAATCTTTTGCCCATTTTTAAACTGAGTTATTTTCTGTTGAGTTGCAAGAGTTCTTTTTACATTTTGGATACTAGTCCTTCATCAGATATATGATTTACAATTATTTTCTCCCATTCTATGGATTGTCTTTTCACTTTCTTGATAGTGTCCTTTGAAGTACAAAAGTTTTTAAATTTGATGTTCAATTTATCTATTTTTTTTGCTTATGCTTCTGATATCAGAGCTAAGAAACCACTGCCTAATCTAAGGTAATGAAGATTTACGCCTACGTATTCTTCTAAGGTCACTATGAGTCAAAACTGACTTGATGGCAATGGTTTTGTTTTTTTTTTTGGTTATTCTTTAAGGGGGTCCTGGTGGCGCAGTGATTAAGCATTTGGCTGCTAACCAAAAGGTCAGTAGTTTGAATGCACCGGCTGCTCCTTGGAAACCCTATGGGGCAGTTCTACTCGTCCCACAGGGTCGCTATGAGTCGGAATCGACTTGACAGCAACAGGTTTTGGTTTATTCTTTTTACAGTTTTAGCTCTAACATTAGGTCTTTGAATGACTTTGAGTTAATTTTTGTATTAACCTACCATATGAGGTAGAAGTCCAACCTCATTCTTTTTCATGTAGATATCCAGTTGTCCCAGCACCATTTGTTCTTTTCCTCAATGTTTACTGAAGTAAATAGAGTTGATTTTAAAGAGCCTAACAAATGCAATTTTGAGGTCTGGTTTGACTAGACGTTAAAATGATCAATAACGATTAACTTCTAGGTCAATACAAACTCCCCCCCCCCCCTTGTTGAACAAAGAGTAGAAATTAGAGGTAGGATACTTAGGAGGTAGGTAAACTTAGGAGTCTGCTCTAAACCTCTGGAGTTCCCCAGTCAGACCTGAAATTATATTCCCTTGCATTCTGAAAAATGGCAAAGTTCAGATAGCCAGAGTCATGTTGAGGCATGAGTATTACTAGTTAGATAGCACTAGCAGATGAGCTCTCCGTAAGCTTCGATCTACTCCTAGGTACGTGTAATCCTTCCTAGAATGTGGAAGAAAACACCTTACTTGAAGCTTCTGTAGGATTTGCCTCTCTGGCTTCCTCTTGTTCACCTGAAATTTGGTTTCTGTTTCTTTGTTACAGGAAAGAAGAGGAAAGGCTCAACCAAGGAAAAAAGGTCTCTGTTTATTTTGAAGAAACTGATTAACACTTTTAGATGGTAAAGTTCACAAATGGGTTGACTTCTTCCCTCAGCTTTCTGACCTGTCTGGCTTATTTCCCAGATTACTTTACATGGTTGTTAAGTGTTTCCTATATGAAATTAGAGGAGGTAGGGCAGGGAAATAAAAGTGTTCTATAAGTCTTATAAATGGTTCCCCTTTGAGTCTACTTTGTGAAAAGGATTACCAAGCTTGACCCTACTGCCAATGAAGCTGAGAGAATTCTAAGGTTATTTGCAGCCTTTGGGTTATATTTACCACCACTAATAATAAATTACCTTTCAATATGTAGACAAATCTTTTTTTATTTTTAATGAAAGGATTAATATCTGCTTATTTGTTTTACTGCAAACTAACCACTGCGCTAAGAGAGTGACTCAATAGATATGCCCAACACATTATGATAGGAGAACTTCTGTACTACTTGGAATGATTTCAACTCTTCCTCTCATTTAGTTGTTGGAACTATGAGTCGGGTTTTAGTAGTGTGTGCTTCTGTTTTTCCAGTTTTCGTTTATGTACAGAATCTCTCCTATTGCTCAAAGTTGGTCCACACCTTTAATTTCTAGGTGTTATAAATCAAGACATGCAAACTTGAATTTCATACTCATAAGAAAATTCTTAACCTTAACCTTTAAAACTGTTTAGCTTTCTTAAATAGAAGGAAAGTATTATAGACTATTATTTGCAAAGAGAGTCAAATTTTTTATTTTTATTTACAAAGAGAGTCACATTTTATAGGCTAAAGCTCAACTGAAAGACCTCACGGTTTTCCAAAATAGAATATGGATTCTCTTAGCAAGTCAGTGTCATGGAAAATAAAGATGGAGTCTATTTTAGATTAAAAGAAACTTAACAGTACAATATGAGATCCCTGACTGGATACTAACTTGAACAAATCCAGCTACAGAAAAAATTTGGGGGGACAATTGAGGGAAATTATGAATAGGAATATTAGAGAATTGTTAGTTTTCATTAGGTGTGATAATATATTGTGGTTATAAAGGAAAATGTATTTTAAAAATGCATACTGGAGTACTCGGGGTGAAATGTCAGAGTATCTGTAATTTGCTTTAAAAGCTTCAGCGAGAAAAAGAAATAAAGCAAAAACTAGGTTTGGGCAAATTCCATCCTCTATTTTTCTGTATGTTTGAGTATGTTCATAATAAGGAGACACAGAGAGAATAAGAATGTGCCAGCAAATGTCCAAGTGTCTCTGCAAGGCACCTAACCAGTTGCCATAGAGTTGGTTCTGATTCATGGCGACCTCAAGTATATCGGAGTAGAACTGTGCTCTAAGGGTTTTCAATGGCTGATTTTTCAGAAGCAGATCACCAGGACTTACTTCTGAGGCACCTCTGGGTGAAGTGGAATGGCCAGCCTTTCATTAGCAGCCAAGCTAACTGTTTGCACCACCCAGGGACTCCACAAGACACTTAACCAACAAACCAAACCCACTGCTGCCGAGTCACAGTGACCCTAAAGGACAGGCTAGAACTGCCCCGTAGGGTTTCCAAGAAGTGGCTGGTGGATTCCAGCTGCTGACTTTTTGGTTAGCAGCTGAACTCTTAACCAGTGTGCCACCAGGGCTCCTATAAGGCACTTAGAGGCTATCAATTAAGGACACCAATTCTGAGAACTATGTAATAAGGATCAGAAAATTTCTTTTAAAAATTAAATTAAGGGACTTCTGGCAAAATGGCGCTCTAGGCAGAAGCACCACGCCATCCCTCTAAGGCAAAGATCCAAAAAACTAAGCCAAACAGAGAAAACAACAATCCTGAAACCCTAAAACATCAAATGAAGAGATAAAGAACTCAGCCAAGCACCAAATGGAGTGACAAAACTGACAGAACAGAGAGCGAGGAGAGATTCATGCAGAGGTCCCCTATCAGCTAACGCAGCACGGATCCGCCATCTTGGACTCCTATC